CGCGCGCCTCTGGCCTCTAGCCGGAGAAGCCGCGCGCGCTTGTCAAACGCCAAGCAAGCCAGCATCCCGTCGACCTCCGCCCGAAGGCCCACCCGTCGCCCGCGCGCAGAACAAACACTTGTTCAGAACGAGAGCGTGCCTTGAAAAACAGCTCTTGGTCCACAGGGCACGCTGTTGTTCAGAACACGTGTGATGTGAGCATGGCTCGGTTCTGTCATTTTTGCTGGATTCTGTGAGCGCGTTCCTGGGCCCTGTGAGCCGGGGGCGCGTAGACATGGACCAGCGATCCATGGATTAGTCGCGCGGTCGCCAAATCCATGGATCGGGGGAGGTGCCCTCCCCAAACTGCGGCCGGCGCCGCCTCGCTCGGCGGCTGTACCCCGCGATTTCCCGTGGAAACGGGACCCGTCGCTAATCCACGCCCCCCTTAATCCATGTTTGCGATCGCCTGAGCGGGCAAGCGAGAGGGAGAGGGGAGGGGGGAGGAGGGACAGGGAGCGGGGAGAGGGGAGGGATGGGGAGAGGAGAGGAGGAGGGGGAGAGGAGGGAGGGAGAGGAGGGGAGAGGGGAGGGGGAGGGAGGAGGGGGGGGGAGAGGGGGGGGGGGAGAGGGGAGGAGGGGAGGGAGGGGAGAGGAGGGGCAAGGGGGAGAGGGGGGAGGGGTGGGAGGGAGGGGAGGGAGGCAAGCTAGGTGCGCTTGCGTCAGATCTGACATCCTACCCCTCCCTCCCATCCCTTACCATGGCGCAGATCCCCTCTCTACTCGCACAGTCGGATGGCGAGCAGGGCAATGATCCCGAAAGGGTACGCGATGCATTGTAGAGCACGGCGTGGCATGGCGTAGAAGAGCACCGCGAGGCGTAGTATCAACCGAGCATTGCATTGCATGCCGTGGCATGGCGCGGGAAATGACGCCATCGCTGCAGCGGGAGCACGAGTCGAAACGAGCGGAAGCGCGGAAATGAAGCCAGCGCTGCAGCGGGAGCACGATTCGGAACCAGCGGAAGCACGCCGGAATCGGCCCGGGAGGCTTCCCGGGTGCCAGAAGCAGAAGTTCAGCATTTTCAAAAGAAAAATGTGTATTAGAATAGCCTTTTTTCGGCGCCGCCTCGGAACTCGATTTTCCGGCGGCGGCCGGAACCGTCTCCGGACCCGGCCCGAGCGCCGGCCCGGGCGCACGGAAATGAGGCCAGCGCTGCAGCGGGAGCACGATTCGGAACGAGCGGGGCCCGAAAATGAGGCCGGCGCCTCAGCGAGAGCAGCATTTTGAAAAAAATGCAAGCGAAAACCCAACTCCGGGGAAACCTGTGTAAAAAAACACGTGCGCCGGGGCGTGGGGGTCGAATCTTCCCAGACGCCATCCGGGGGAAGAGGAGAGTATAGATCCAATGGAGAATTGTGGAGAGGAGGGGGAGGGAGAGGGGAGAGGGGGCGGGGAGAGGGTCGGTGCTGGCGCGGTCGTCCCCCGAGGGCCGGGCACGCGCTCGCCGCCGCAGCGGCCCCCCTCGCCGCCCCGCGCCCCGTCCGCTCGCCCGCCCGCCGCTCGCCCGCCCTCCGCTCGGCGCTCCCCCGGCCTCCGCCCCCGGGGGTGCTGCCCCCTCCTCGATCCTCGAGCCTCCCTCCGCCTCGCTCCTCCTCGATCCCTCCCTCCCTCCTCCTCGATCCCTCCCTCCTCCTCGACCTCCGATCTCCAGGAATGGGGCATCGAGGGGCCCCAAGGAGGAGGAGGAGGAGGAGGAGGAGGAGGAGGAGGAGGAGGAGGAGGAGGAGGAGGAGGAGGAGGAGGAGGACCCCTTTGGGGCCCCCTCTTTTGGGTCACCTTCTGGATTCTTTCAGTGCCTAGCTGGGGCTCCCCGTGCGCCTTGCAGACGGAGCGAGGTGGACCAGAGAAACAAACGACACCACCCCACCCGGGCCAGATCGGGCCTGTCCCCCATGCAGGGAGATTTTGGACGAAAAATAAAACATTCCCCAAAGAAGTGTTCAACAAATGCTCAAAATGGTTTGAAAATATCGTCCCCAGACTAATGTTTGACTAGTTCTGAATATTCCTCCTGTGGAGGGACGTGCCTGACTTAACACTCGGGCGAATGGCAATGGGGTGTGACCCACGTGGGGGGCTGAAAGGGCCCTCGAGGGGCCCTTCAGGGGCCCTTTTAGAGCCAGCTGGTGCCCAACAGGGGCCCTACAGGGCCCCTCGAGAGCCTCACCCCCCATGTGGGCCACCCTTCCGTTACCACCCGCCAGACCCGCCGGCGTCCCCGCCGGGCCTGAGCAGTTCCCATGCGTGAGGGCGTGGGTTTTGCGCGGTCTACGCAGCGGTGCCCGATGGGCCGTGGCACAACACGGGGGGCCGTAGGTGGGATGGTGTCGTTTGTGTTCTGGTCGGAAAGGTGGGTGGGGCTGGCAAGCCGCCAAGAACCGACGGAAACGCCCGAGCACCTGCAACCTCGAACCCCCTGAGCCGATCTCCAGGACTACCAGATGGGGTCCGAGTAGATGGGGACGGAGGATCTCGCCGCATCGCCGACACATCGGCGATGCATCGGCCATGCACTGGCGACGTCGGCCATACATCCGCGACGTCGGCCTAGAGAAAATTGGGCTCCTATCGAGCCGCATCGCCGATGCATCGCCGATACATCGGCGATGCGGCGCGATCCTCCGACCCTATCTGCTTCGACCCCATCTGGGAGGCCTAGAATTAGGTCGGGCGTGTCCTCCTACAGGCGGATTTTGGACGAACAAGTAAAAGTAAGATTGCTCCCAAAATCGTTCCCCGACAATTTTTTAATTCTCCTGGAATACTGCTCCCGAAGAGGGACAGGCCTGACTTAAGACTAGAAGGACGAGCAGCGGCATCGGTGCC